CAGGTGACTTTTTGTGATCCGGAAGCAGCACAGAAAGCATGTGTGGATCCAGCTCCTGTCATCGATGGGAGAAGGGCTAATTGCAATCTTGCGGCCTTTGGTGTTCAGAGATCCAAACCTTCTTCTCCAATTCATGGTATCTTTATCTTTCTATCTTCTTATACTTTGTCTAATTTGATCTGTTGAAAACCATACTCCAAAAAAGTCGACGAGAATAGCATGAGTTCATGGATCTTACCAACTAAGCTGAAAGTGTATGTCATGAATCATCTGTGTGACAAAAATTTAGCAAGTTAGAGACTTATAAGTTGTCTAGGGGTTTAGCTGTATCTTGATTCCTATGGTGATTGAGCCAACTGGTAAAACGTATTGATTTTGCATAGGGAACCTGGAGGGGTCAAAGAGCTAGCCTTTCTGGTTTAATATGTCTGTGTGTTTTGGTTTTGCTGGAAGCAAAGGTTTGAGAAGATATTTTCATGGTGTTGCGTGTTTGGCAGGAAGAGGCATCAAGGTGACTAGTCCTTTCAAGACACATTTTGGGGCGGCCGCTGCTCTTCCTTCGCCACTTCCATTTTCCCACTACACACTTCCTTACACTAATCCTTTTGGGTACTGCACATTTGATCTCTTACTTTTTTTTTTCAAACTTATCATTCTAAATAGACTGATAATCCTCTGTTTGGTCTCATTAAACTTTCTTTAGGTTCTCTTCATACTCAATGGATTACAATTACCCCACGGTAATTAGACTGTGCTTTTTCTCAATCTAATTCTCAAATAACTATGAGAGTCTCATATAGCTAATTAGATGTTTTTACATAACAGAGCTACTACAATGTTTATGGTGGGGCGACTGCTCAGCATCCAATGTATGGCAGTGGACCAATGACTGGTGTAGCAGCAGCAGCAGCGTACTACCCATATCTCCAGTTTGCTGAAGGAAATGGACCCGTCACTGGTTATGCCCCTCTCCACTACCCCAACCACATGTTTCACTATTCCACTCTTGCCTCGTCTACCGGGGGAAGCTACCCACATCACAACGGTTCACCAGTGTCTCTTGCACCTTCACCGATCATACCCTCAGGTTTGTGTATTTATCTGTCTGTTTTCATTGTTCATACACAACCTGGAAACCCAGAGGTACTGATGTTCTCAGCAGTGTGCTTTGCAGTTCCACAGGCTTGACCACGAAGGCTCATGGTTCACCTCTGATTCCATGATGCTGTGTAGAGGCCAATTCGTTTAAATCCTTAAGGCAAGCTTTGTTTACTACTTTCATCCATATGCCGCGAAGTTCCACAAGACCTGTGGCCTAACCATGGTTGCCCTTTTCCCTTTGTGCTTCTAACCCCATTAGGCAAAAGACCCCATAATTTGGAGTTTTGGCGTCTTTGCAAGTTCCAATTAAGTCTCACGTAGGGGTTTAATTTGGAGCATCATCATAATCATTGCTCATCTTTTCTTTTTCTTTCTCATTGCATTACGTGCTTCTTAACGAAGGATTTGTTCAAGATAGCCTGTTCGAGCTGTAGGAGTATCAATTTAAGTAAGAGTTACCGTGTCTTGCACAGTGCCCCAGAAAGGCAAGCAATTTTGTAGAAAACTTAAAAGGCTTAGGATTGGCTGATCAACAAGAAAGGAAATAAGGATTTCCCGGGAAAGGCACGAGAAGTGAATTGCCACCACCTGGAAGTGTTTGAAGTAGTGTGTGCAAAGGTGTGCTCACTACTTCGCATAATATCCATTTTAATGTGCAGTCTTAGGATGATTAGATCTAAGGACCATGTTGTTACAAATAGAAAGGTAGAACATAAGTTCTCTTGACATCAAGAAAGGCACAGAACCAGCCTCATAAATTTCCTTTTGAGGATAAAGGAAGTAATGGTGTTTGCTAACCCTTGTATTATATTCTCGGTGGCTAAGCTTTGGAGTTATAGCCACAGTTGAACTAACTTTAGATTAAGATCATTTTTAAGATTCAAGAATTATTAGATTGCTCATCATATTTTCCAACTAACCCCACTGATGGAATGTGGGGTCGTTGCATTTGCATGTTTTGCCTCTTGGGAGATATTTTGGTTCCCTTTAGGTTCTTCTCTTAACATCAACTAAACCAGTTGACCAACCATGGTTAGGATTCAGGTGAGAGGTATTCATCACCTCCTTATCTCTCTTTTACTATTTTTCTCTGTTTCTCTAAGACC